GGCTCCTGGAGCCAGAACGCCTTGGGCCCGGGAGATGAGGGGGGAGACACAGGGTCAGCTCTCCCGAGGCTTTGATGAATGCGCTGAAAGCGCAAGTTCACATCTGCAGCGTCGATGTGAAAACGTGCTCAATGATCGACAGACGCGCTGCAGTCCTTTCCCATGAACCCCCGCAAACGGAGTCCATCTCCGGGGCTGAGCGAAATCAGATTCCAACACTGCCCTGAACCGCAAAATGCCCGCCGCAGCCTTTGACGTGAACACCCTCCAGAAGGGCTCCAGCTGCAGCCAGCTCTCCAGGACAAAGAGAGAGCTCCACTGCTCTCCGGAGTGGCAGAGCGGCGGCGTCGAGCCTGTCCCTGCCATTATTCGGCAAGGGCTGCCCTGGATCACATCCTCCTTAGAGGGTGGCTACTACCACCTACCCCCAGTGTACCCCAGGCAGGCTTCCTGGGCTCCCCACCCCACTCTGCCCCGCCAGCACCTCCAGAGACAACCTCCTCACAAGCGTCTCCTGCCCCCTGAGCCATAGTAGGGGGCAGGGGTCTCCTTTACATAGACCCGACATCTTTCCCCGTATGACTTCCATCCATTGCTCTGAATCCTGGGGCTAGAAAAACAAAACATGTAAGGAGTAAGTGGATGTCTTGATTTTCAGGCAGTACTTATCCAATGACACTAACTACCTGGAGAATTAACAAATACCTAGTAGCTAGGTAACACTATATACACAGCATAATCCAGGCATTTCCCCCTTATTTTTTATTTCTCACAACTTCCTGCATCACCCCAATAATTAATGAGGGGAAAGGAGCAAACGTGGAGGTTGCTTGAGGTTGGGGAGTTAACCAGCTACAGTCCCGCAGTATCAAAGAGGCAGGGAAACCACTAGGAATCCCAGTGAGTAAATGGCTGCTAAGAACGTGTGCTTTGGAGCCAGACAGGGTTGAGATCCTGGCTGGACCAATAAAGGTTATGGTGAGGATTTCATGATATGATGAGAAATGGGTGATCTGAGACACAGTGAGCAGAGAGGTTCTTGTGAGTCTTGTAACAGCTAAAAAAAAAAAAAAAAAATACTGGCTACTGTGAGGTTGAGCAGTTACTATGTACTCCAGGCTGCAGATATGCCCCCAGTCTTTCCCACCAACTCTCGGGTGTTCTGGGCCATTCTCTTGTGTCCTGGCCTCAGTGGTCACATGTGTACCAGGAGGGCACTAGACATCATGGTCTTTAAGACCCCTACAGGCTCTAAGGGGCAAACCCCAGCACCTATAAACTCATTCACACGGAGAAGGCACAAGGAGGTGAGGAAAATGCACTCACCATGCAGCAGTCACACCCTAATGGAGCTCTACCTGGTAAAGGTGTGTGGAGATGCCTAAATCCCACCAGCAAAGCAGTGGCCATGGTATAATATGCAGGAACGCTATCCCCTAGCTCAGGGGTAGTTGTAGGCCAAATCCAGCCCACCTGCCCATTTGTACAGCCTGCAAACTAAGAGTGGCTTTTGCATTTTTCACTGGTTTAAAAGATCAAAAGGTTGTTTTGTGACATGGTAAGTTACACAAAATGCAAATTTCAGGGTCCATGAAGTTTGTGGAAACAGCCACAGCCATCCATTTCTGTATTGTCTATGGCTGGTTTTGTGCTACCACATCAGAGTTGAATACTTGGACCCTGCGATACATGGACCCTGCAAAGCCTGACATCTCTACCACACAGCCCTTTACAGAAAAAGTTTGCCAGCCTCCCTTTTAGCAGGTGGAACTGTGGCAAGGATGAATGTTAACAGGTGTGGCACGGAATGAGCACAGGACGTGACACAGCCATAAGAACCAACAGAAAAGGGGGCGCCTGGGTGGCTCAGTCGGTTAAACGTCCAACTTCGGCTTGAGTCTGATCTCACTGTTCATGAGTTCGAGCCCCACATTGGGCTCTATGCTGATAGCTCAGAGCCTGGAGCCCGCTTCAGATTCTGTGTGTGTGTGTCTCTCTCTCTCTGACCCTCTGCCGCTCACACTCTGTCTCTGTCTCTAAACAAACAAACAAACAAAAACAAAAAAAAAAAAAAACAAAAAACCCAACACCAACAGAAAAGGATGATGTTTACCATGTGCCAAGAGATACCCACTCAAAAAAAAGCCACTAATCAAAATACTGCAAGTGTCTGAGGTCAGTTAGCCTATCAGATAACTCTCCCTATTAAAATGATTCATCTGGATCTGGTTTATCTCTCAGTCTCTTATATGTTAGGTTTGTGTGAGTCTGAGAGGGCTGATGACATCGAGGCCCTGATCCTTGCCAAGCTGAAGTCCAGCCTGGGATTTGGTGAGCTTCTCAGTCAGGTAGCTGCTACTCCACTGCATTACAATTGAACATGGAGTTGATTTACATTCGGGAAATTCTACACTCAGAAACCGTGATTCTGTGTTCCAACATCCCATACCATATACACATATATACGCTCCCCAGTATGACTGCTGGGACCAACTCCTGGCCATGTCTGCCTTGTGTCCATACCAGCGCCTTGACCTCACCATCCTGCTCCTCCTCACCCTTTCCTGAACTTTTTATATCCTTAAAATTGTCACCAGTTGGAAAGCCATTTAGCCTGACAAGCTCCTCTCCCAAAACGCCTACCTAGCCTCAGCTCTGACCCAGGCAGAGAAGTGCGGCATGGACAAATGGCCACCAGGCTGGTCTGGGGGTACAAAAGAGGCATAAATGGGGCTGGGACAGCTTCTCCTAATCCGAGGTAGGCTTCTGACTGCTAGCCCATCTTTCCACCACTCCCCAACCTCTGCCCCCCCTTCCTCCTTGCACACCATATCCTTCGGAAGATTAGTTCTAAATTCCAAAACAGCTGTTACTTCACTGTCACTAGTGCAGGGTTCCTGTTCTTGCCCCCAAATGCCACAAACCCCTCCTTATAAAGTCCCCCAAGGGGGCCTCACTGACCCATGGCCAAAGTCAGCCCCACTTGCTATTACGAGTTCACCAGAGCCCTTGGAATGGTCTTGCCACCAGCCCCACTATGGTTGAAGGTACCCATTTCGAAAGCACCACTGTCCATGTCAGGAGTGCCATTTCCTGGGAAACCCACCCCCTCGCCGATCTTTGGGGCACCAGAGTGGAGAGGGAGCTTACATGCAGGCAGGGGCAGGGACAAAGCCCTGGCAGGGACCAACTCCAGCTCGTCCTTTGGCCCCTGGGACCCAAGGCAGGTCAGCTGCATTCCTGGCTTCCTCTCTCCTCCCACAGCCTGGGGCCCTCATCCCTCACCAAAGTAGTTTGTGGGGTCCTGCTCTGCAGCAGGTACAAAGCGCTGCCACACTCTCCCATCGTGCTCCCCACTGTGCAGGCCAACTTGGAGACAAAGACTCCCTGCATATCAAACAGCTAGCTGCAGGGAGGGGAGCACTGTGGGCCACAACAGTTCCCAAGATGCCTGACATCACATGCAAGTCTTTACCAGTCCCAGGCGACATAAGACAAATGAGGCTGTTGTGGCAAGTTATCCCCCATAAAGTTAGAATACTGACCTTTATTCCGAAATCGTGGATTTTTGCGTGGTATACAAAAGTCCTTTATATCCTGAAGACATAATAGGGTTTTGTTTAATGTGCTTACTTTGCAAAATAAAAAGTTAGCAATCCTATCTGTCCCCAAATTAAAAGAAAGGAATGTGGTGCCTGGGTAGCTCAGTGAGTTAAGCGTCTGACTTGATTTTGGGTCAGGTCATGATCTCACGGTTCCGTGTCAGGTTCTATGTTGAGCGTGGAGCCTGCTTAAGAGTCTCTCTCTCTCTGCCCCTCCCCCACACTAACTTGTGCACGCACTTGCGCGTGCTCGC